CTCTCACACACACACACACACACACACACACACACACACACACACACACACACACACACATACACGGCCACCGTTGATCCCAGCAAAGCAACGCTCCGATAACGTATTTTGGTCCCCCGCGCCCCGTGCGACGGGCAAAAAAAAAAAACCGCAGGCCCATGCACCGCACCACACTGCACTCAGGCCCGCATCCGCCCACCACCAAATGCGGCCGCGCAGGCCCACAGCGGCTCAGTCCCGCCTCAGGGAACGACGGGTCGGCTTTCCCCTCGCCCCACTGCCTCAGAGCGGGCCCGCTCAGCGGCGCCCGGTTTCTGTTGGGCCCGTCACGCGAGATCCGCTTCTTCCTTTAGAGTATTAGATAGAGAAAAAAAAAAAAAAAAGAAGAAGAAGAAAGAAGATGCACCACATGGCTTTGCCACAGTGTTGGATCTCTTTTCCACTTTCTTTTTTCTCCATTTTTTCTGTTGTATGTGTGTGTCACACAGAGAGAGAGAGAGAGAGAGAGAGAGAGAGAGAGAGAGAGAGAGAGAGAGAGAGAGAGAGAGAGAGAAGTGGGGAGGGTGAAGGGGGTAGGACCAGAGGAAGGCCGAGGTGGAAGGGGGGTTACAGTCGCGAGATCATGCCACGTGGGAGAGAGAGAGAGAGGCAGAGAGTCTTATGTGAGGGAGAGCGTGGAGGAATGGGAGATAGAGAGGCCCAAGAGAGATTGCAACCCATGCATGCACAGAGAGAGAGAGAGAGAGAGAGAGAGAGAGAGAGATTGTATTGGGCAGTTGCCTACAGTATAGTCCTGGATAATTAATCGGAGTTGTGTGGGCATAGCTGCGCTGGCTTTGCTTGTATTATTCATTTTAAAATGCATAGGTCGACCCTGGGCGAGACACCCAGCCAGGTATCCCTGGGTAACGCAGCTTTTCCCCCTTCTTCTTTCTTTTCCCCCTCTTAACCCAGCCCTCCCCCTACCCCCTTTTTGTTCTTTTCCCCCCTAAGCCTTGGTTTATGGCTCATGTTGATGCTCTCATGATTTGCACTAAACTTCTTTATGTGACCTCATGTCTTTTGGGGGGTTGTCTTGCACCCAGGTTGGAGATGCCACCAGAGATCACCAGTGTTGGTTCCGTCCTGAGAATAGCTCTATTCCACGTCCCAGTTACTTCGTCAATGCAACTGCGCCAGGAGATGATGTTGCGGCAGCAACATCTGCGGCACTGACTGCTGCGTCACTTGTTTTCCGGGAGATTAATGCCACATATGCGGCTGAACTTCTGAAGGCAGGAAACGACCTATGCGAGTTTGCCATGACGCATAAGGTATATGATCGTGTATGTGTTGATTTCCCCATCATTTTTCAAATTTCAAGTCTTCGCACATTGTTGGCATCTTTGCACATTGTTGGCATCTTTAAACCACCGCAGTACACAACCTCGGCCTTGCTGAAACAGAACTCCTCGCCCGACGCGAATCGGCGGCCTTTGTCGCGTTTCAGCCTCTGAAAGCAGCCCGCGGCCAATGTATGGCGTGTACTGGTGGCTGAAACCATCACACAAAGGAAAAAAATGAGAGTTTGCATGCGCGTGAAACTCTCAGGGGCTCAAGGTTACAGGAAGGAAATGGCTTGTGCCACCAGTCAAAAAGGAAGGAAATCCGTTAAAATTGTAACGAAAAAGGAAGGAAATCGCGCTCATGCCTCTTGGCTTTTTTTGTTGGTGCGCAGCACGATTTCGGAGTGGTGAAAAAAAACAGCCTTGGACGTAGTGGTGGTTTAACGAAGACATTGTCGGGATCTGGACTTTTGGACGGGCATCTGAGCTGTCGAGATAGCGATATCCGGGTACCAGAGTCCAGATACCTTGTCCAGATAATTTTGGAGCATATACTATGTACTCTTTGAAATTAGAATACGATAGAATATATGATTTATTGCTGTTTTGCAAAAAATACGAAATTTGAAATTCATTCAAAAAGGTATGGTAAAATAATACGATGTGTACGATAACCGTACGACGATTGTACCACGAGCATCTGCTGTCAGAGGCTAGGCTACCAGATTGGCCCGGGGCCACTTGCCCCACGGGCCAAATAAAAATAAGAAAATATAAAAATAAAAATATTTTTTAAATTTATTTTCTATTTTAAATTTAGTAAAGAATTTCGATGTGACCCTGAGGCAAAAGTCGTTCAGTTCATTTTTCTGCATAACATATTTTGTTTGCGTTTTTTTCTTCTTTTCTTTTTCTTTTTTTTGCTAGGACCCTCCCTGGTCCTTGCACGACCCGGGCCGTCCGGGGAAATATTGTGACCCGGGCGGCCTGGCTGGTAGCCTAGGTCAGAGGGTAATTTCAAAACTCATAGCCAAATTGTAGCTCAACATAAAAAATTCTAAATATGTTATAACCTGCGTACGGATCCGGGCCGCCCGGCCGACCGGCGCCTGCCCGGGGGAGGTCCCGAGCGGCCCGGTTAGGGGCCGGGCCCCCCCAGCACACCTTGTTGGCGAGGGGTTTCCGACCCCGCATGGCGAGATTTCGCCTCCCCAGGGCCTACCGGGTCCCGACCACGTGAGGCCTGTTTTTTTTTTTTTGATTTGGGATGGCCCTCTGGCCGTCGATCATCCATGAGAGAGAGAGAGAGAGAGAGAGAGAGAGAGAGGTGTAAACTGGACACATGGAGGGACATTCTAATTCCTCAGGTGTGTGATGGAGTTTGATGGATGCTTTGTATAGCTGTGTATTGCATTGGTAATCATTTGCATCTTTGGATGGTCGAGATGATAATTGCATTTATATATATACATATATATATCGTCAAATATGTATATATATCTTGGATACACTGGTTCATGCAGGATATCTCACGTGGATGACCGGTCTGTTATTTTGAATCGCAGGGCCTCTACACCCTGTCTGTGCCAGAAACTGCTAACTTTTACAAGATCCCGGACTCCGAAGATTATATTCTGTGGTGCAATGCCTGGTTGCTGCGCGCATATGCAGGTGCCCCAGAGCATCGACAATTTCTTCTGACCCTCTCAGCCGACTCTGCGAGCAATTGGGAGACTCTTGAGTGCAGCTGGGGTGATGTGAAATTTGGTAGGTTCCTTTCCCTTCCCTGATTTTGTTCTGAGACTCTGAGAGATGTTTGTAGACCTGCGACAGTCCAAAACTTGAAAAATGAACATTTCGAAAAAGAAAAGGATGTGGAGAATCGTATCAGGTACTTGCGAAGAATAATTCTGGAGTGAAAAAAGATGCTGTTGCGAAGAAAAAGGAAGAAGGAAACTGGTTTTGGCTCAACTTCGACCGTGGGCTTGCATTCATCGACTCCCTTGTCTATGAAAGAAAAATTGCAGAAAAATCAAAGGATTCATGATGTCTGGAAAATCATTATAAAAGATTGTGCATGGGAAACAGCTTCTTCTGTTTTGTTCTGAGGAAAAGAAAAGGGTTAGGCTGGTTAGCCCCTAACAGTAGGGCACAGTCCATCTGATGCCTTCCCCTAAGAAGAAGAACATAGCGCCTTAAAAAAGAAAAAGAAAAAAAAGAAAAAAAAAAGAAAAAAAAAAGAAGAAGAAGAAGAAGAAGAAGAAGAAGAACCCAGCGCCTAGCGGTTCTGGCTCAGTCAGGGTAAAAGTGAGATCTCTGCCGACTTCGCAAACCAAAGTTGCTGGCCTGAGTCATTGTGTGACTGGCCTGAGTTGTTGTGATTGGTGACTTGCTGCAGTTAGGTTGCTGCTAACACTTGCCGAGTTGAGTCATTGTGTGACTGGCCACCACCAACTGCAGTGAAATGATTGACACCAGCTGAGTCAATGAAGTATCGAACGGAGTTGATGCGCTAATCTGTTGTCATTGGCGGCTTATTATTGTTCTGGCCGTTCTTCTCGGTTTGACTGCGCAGCTGCACATGCTCTACTCGCCGTAGAGGCTAGCCGAAATAAGTACACGGGACTAGAGAGGTATTCTCAACTGGCCGAAAAGGTACTCTGCTACTACAACACTAATGCAACTCTGCAAACGAAAGGAGGATTTGTGTTCGTCCGCGAGTGGGCGCCTATCCAGTACGTTGCATCTGTGTCGTTGGTTGGGTTGATCTATGCGGACAACCTGCTGTCAAGTGCTGCGTCAAAAATGGAATGCAAGCTTAAAGCGCTGGACGTGATGGCCTTTGCCGACGGACAAGCAGCGTACGTTCTGGGTCACAACCCTTTGAATATGAGTTACATGATTGGCTTTGGGGACAATTATCCTAAGACAGCGCACCATCGAGCGTCATCTATTGCTGTCCCTGGCGCATGGAGACTATCCCCAACCGCGTACACCGATTGCAGCGAATCGCGAAATACCTTCTTGTTCAGCGGAATCGACAACCCGAATCTGCTGACCGGCGGAATTGTCGGTGGTCCGGATCGTTTCGATAAATTCAATGCAAGCCGCGAAAACCATCTGCAGAACGAGCCTGCACTTTATGTTGCCGGCGTCTACGTTCCTGTTTTTGCGAGGTTGAGACAAACCATGAGCAGCAGTTCGGCTACCGATCCAACTACCAATTCCACTAGCAATTCGACTAACCGAGTTTAGCCCCCCAGCATCTCGCCAACGTATTCTCGACCACACACACACTCTCAGAGTCTCAGCCCATTCCAACACTTCCTCTCCACGTGTGCGTACTCCGCGGGGCAATAAGATATCAAGCAATGGGGTGAGCGGCTGCCAGACCAAGGCCGAGGCCGTGAACTGACAGCTTCGAAAGACACGTGCATTGTTTGCCTCTCCTGGCCCGTGCATGTTTTGGCATGCGGTTGACGACTTCCAGTCGTGAAGCTTTTGCGGTGCAAGGCTTCTGAGAGAGGATAACGAGCCAGACAGACAAACAGAGGCACACAGAAGAGAGGCACAGACAATGGACAAGTAAAGAGGCAGACGAAGACGCTCAGCGGACATACACGCACACAAATAGAGAAGAGGAATGAAGGAAGAGAAACGCTTGCTTGCCTTTTTCTACTACAGACGCACACGGTCGGCTGTGATGATGGCGATCCACAGCCACTTGTGCCACAGCTGCATGCCATCGAGGTACCTGTTTATTTATTGCTTCATTTTTATTTTTAAATCGCCGCTACATCTGCACCTGACCCGCCAAGCCTAATGCCTGCCTGGTAGAGTTTTTTTTTTTAACGTGTTTTTAAACTTTTTTTAATATTTTTTCCCTTCTTTTTCTGGGAACTTTTATTTTTTTCTTTACGTCTTTTTCTAATGTCTTTTCCTTTTTCTCAGGCAAGTTTCAGGTTTGCTCGGAACATTTTTTTAATGTTTTTTCCTTTTTTAATGTCTTTTCCTCTTATTTTAATGTCTTTTCCCTTTTCTTTCCGGTTGCCATTGGGGTAGAGATGTGTAACACACTTAGATTCAGGGCATTGCTTTCAGTTTTCTAGCTGTTCTTTTTTTTTTCCATGGTGTAAAGAGAATAGAACTTGACGACTTCATGTGCTAGTCCGGACTCCTCGGGAGTGGCAGAATCGCAATAAATAAGGACCCCTGCAGTCCCGATCCAGGCCGAGTTCGAACATGTCGGTGCAGGGCGTGTCCACTACCATCCAGCGAGGACAGCATGACATTGCCATGTGAGAGGGTAGTCGTGAGGAATGCGGTGAGCAGTCGATCAGTACTTGGGAGAGTTATCGTCATCATTGCTGTAAACCCCGAAGCCAGTATTCAGTGAAAGCGATGGGCGCCGAGGCGTGCGCTAAGTGTTGCTTGTACGACTCAACATACCAGTACATACATCAGCCTGTTATATATTATGTGTGCGGCAGTGGGTAAAACAAGGGCCCTAGGGCTAAATTGGACCTACTACTACAGGATGGCTAAACTGGACCTACTACTACTGGATGGGTAAAACAAGCCCGGTGGGTCACAGCGGCTCGGTAGTTTGGAACCAGGTAAAAAGTGAGTATCGGATAACAATGAAGGCTTTGGCATTGAGGTCCTTTGACAATGGGAGTTGGTGCCGGTAGTTCCCGAGGAGGAAGGGCAGTATCCATGTGAGTGTGGGGCCACCCACTGTAGGTGCCGTGCTGAAAGCTCGCTTAATAACAGCGAAACACTGTCTCGACACAACGTGAACAGCGTTCCCTGCACGCGTCATAGAGATGAAGTATGGAACCATGGAGTGGCAATTCCAGCATGGCAAGCAGGGAGTCATAATAACTGATATACACACAGCAGGCCATCAGGTGGAAGCGGCAAAGCTGACAAGTTACAACTGGCCATCAGTTAAAAATTTTAAGGTTCTGCTTCAGTGGAGTCCCTGGAGCAATCAGACGGACCGTTCGCCGTTCGCATTGTGTTTGGTTTCCATCTCATTCTTCTTGACCGTTAAGTTTTAGTATTCAGCTACTGGTCGTGGCAATCAGCAGTTACGTTTCTTTGTCTATGCTGCTTTGTTGCGGTTGCAGTTTTGCATCCATCCATTATCATTGCTGCTAATCAGGCGGTGGTGGTGGTAGGGCTGTTGTACAGAGTAGTGCGTCACCAGGACAGGTGCTGTTGCTGTTGCTGTTCAAAGTTCTCATGTTTCAGCGCTTTCGTTGGACAAGATGGCGTCCAAAGGTCACTCATAAAAGTTGTCACAATGTCAAGGCAAGATCTGACGGGAGCAGTTTTTGCAGCATCTCTAGCAGACAAATCGTGGGTTGCTCAATTTTTTAACCCGGCGGCATCTACGGCAATCTGTGTTCTTTCCTGGACGACAAAAGACGCCTGCACATCAGCATATTGCTTTTATGATACACTGCCACTCCCATTCTTAGTAAGTCAGCTCTGCTAGGAACTCACAACTACATTACCCTCTCTCTCTCTCTCTCCTGCGTGCATGCTCTCTTTGGCATAAGTGCCTCATTGTTGATCATCAGGTAAGAACTCTCTCACCTCTCTCTCTCTCTCTCTCTCCTGCGTGCATGCTCTTTTTGGCATAAGTGCCTCATTGTTGTTGCTCTCTCTCTCTCCTGCGTGCATGCTCTCTTTGGCATAAGTGCCTCATTGTTGTTGATCTCTCTCTCTCTCTCTCTCTCTCTCTCTCTCTCTTGTGTGTGCATCATGCTCTCTTTTGCATGAGCGCCACGGTGTTGTTCAGGTACAAACAATAAAACCGAGGAGCCCAGGTCAGGCTTTGTTTGTTTAAATATTTTATGATTTATGAGCTGCTTGTGGATTTTAGGACCATACCTCGTTTTTTTTACCAGGTTGTGAAGAAATTTTCGAGTTGAGACTTGTGGCTGCAATCGAAAAGATTCCAGCTGTTGTTTTGGGGAAGTAGGTGGTTTCCAAGTTTCGTGGAGTTATGTGGAGGATGGCAGAAAAGTAGTAGTCCGGAGGAAAGGACACTACCGAGTTAGCGCGAGAATGTGGAGGCTGCCGCGGCGTGAGTTCCGAATTTCGGCACTCGACCATCTGTCCTTGTTGTGTTGTTGCATGTGTCTTGAAATTGCCTAATTTGTGTTTTTTCAATCAAGTGCCCAGGAACACAAGCAGTATCTTTAGTTGAGGTAGCAGAAGTTTTTTCTTTTTTTTATTACTATCGAGTTAGCGGGAGCGTGCTGTGGCGGCAGCGGCGTGGGTTCGGAATTTCGGCACTCCACCATCTGTCCTTGTTGTGTTGTTGCATGTCTTGAAATTGCATAATTTGTGTTTTTTCAATCAAGTGTTGCGGTGCTCGACGCAGAGTTTAATGTCATTTTGAATTATTGAGTCGAAAGCTAGGCTACCAAAGTGGCACGGGACCACTTGCCCGGCCGAGCACCAAAAAAAAAAAAAAAAAAATTAAAAAAATCTATGTAAGTTTTTTTCCTGATATTATGTTTGTGGCATTTTGCAGCTTGATCATGCAGACTGATCCTATTTCTCAAGTACCTGACACACAATACAACCCATTATGAGATAAGGGCTGACATTATAATTTTATTTTTTATTTTAAATTTGGTAAAGCATTTCGATATAACCCTGAGGTAAAAATAGTTCAGTTTATTTCTCTGCATAACATAATTGTTCTGGGATTTTAAAAAATACTAAATATATATATTATTATTTTCTCTTTTGCTAGGACCTGTGTTGCCCGCTGTACGTGTATGCGGTGCGTACGCGTACGTGTCCAGAAAACCTCGTACGCGTAGGAGCGTACGAGTTCTCTTTTTCTCTTTTTTTCCCAAGAATATATATCACATGTAGTGAATTGTATTCCCAATTTCAGAGTCTTCAGACTTTTACATACACACATACACAGTATTACACTCACACACACACACACACACACACACGCACACACACACACACAAAGTCTGTCTGTCAGACAGTTTGACTGTTCGACAGGCAGCTACCTAAAAACCGTCAAACAGACCGACCGACAGCCGCGTACACACAGATGGACAGACCTACAGGCACTATGGACAGTGACAGAATGACGTGTCACATGGACAGGGTGACGGAGTGACAGACAGACAGACAGACAGGTACACGTGACAGGCTCTTGCAGACAGACAGACCGACAGGTACACGTGACAGGCTCTTGCAGACAGACAGACAGACAGACAGACTTGACAGGCTCTTGCAGACAGACAGACTGACAGACAGACACACACACACACAGACAAACAAACAGACAGACAAACAAATTGACCACGGCACAGCTTGACTGACTGAGAGACTGACAGACAGTTGTACAGCCAGCCAGACAGCCAGAAAGCCAACCAGATGGTGTCACGCCACTGTAACGCCCAACCCCGATTGGGCCAAAAAACGGCCCGGAAAAGGCCCCCTGCGACCACGTGCGCGGGGCACTTTTTGACGTCCGTGCGCACACGTACGGGGTACGTACGCACGCACGTGCATACGTGTACGCACGTGTGCGGGGGCCGCGTACGTGTACGTCGTGCAACGCAGGCTAGGACCTTCCCTGACCTTTGCACAGCCGGACCGCCTGGGAAAATAGGGCGACCCGGGTGGCCTGGCTGGTAGCCTAGGTCGAAATCGTTTTTTTTTTTCCCTTCTTTTTTTCCATTCTTTTTTTGCTAAGGCCAATAGCTGGGCCAATTACTGGTGGTTCTTTTTTCCCGACAGAGGAAAATATCCCTCCTGAGCCTGAATGACGCTCACGGTTTAATCAGATTCCAATTTTAACCACCAATACCTCAAATGGAATCAGACTCGGCTTCTTCGCACTCCGCATGCGTGCAAACAGATGGCAAAGCACGCTGCCGCCATGCGCCCAGACAAAGCTCAGAGATATTCAAGCTGAGAGCACAGTTTGGTAACAAACTCACTTCAGTACGCTATGGCGCCCTAGTGCCTACACTTCACTCCCAAACTCTGTATTCACGGTGACTGTTCACACGCACTCCACTCTAGATCTCCCTGGATATCCCACGTGCATACACTCTGTATCACACACACACCCTCACTACCACCTGTCGCTAGCTATGGCAGCTATGGCCGCTGGCTATCACTAAGTACAAGCGGCTATCGCTGCTCTGACTCCACCTCAGCCCACTTCGACTTCGGGCAGACCACCTCGCACAAGACGCCTGGGCAGCACTTCCTCATGGCTCACACAGAAATGAATTTCATGGCTGTACGCTGCCTCTTGATTTATACTTCTGTAGATCCCTGGTCTGCCTTTTCCAACCGGCCCAGGGTGCACACAGTCCCACAGGGTCCTTGCTGACTGAACGAAGGCGGAGTGAGACTGGGACTCGGTACCGCTGACGAAGCAAAGCTGGACTGCCTACTTTGCTCGCTTGCCTCTGGCCTAACGTTTAAAACTTGCCAAAGGCCACCTCCGGTCCCCTTCCCAAAGTCTGTGCACTTGGCCTTTTGGGACTGAAGCAGCTACGACCTAGCCTTTTGGGACTGACCACAACTATGACCCCTTCTTGACAGATCTACCGTTCAAGACCCGACAGCAACACAGACATTCGACAGACCAACATTCAGCTACCAAAACACAGGTCAGCCGTTCAAAACACACAGGGTCGACTTGATACTTGTATACACGGGTGATGCAAGGTCTAGGGATCGAGCCCTGGGATCTGCTTCTGTTACAACAAAGGCGAAAACCGTTTCAAAAGCTCGTTTTTTCCGGCCCTGATTTCGCCCTGCAAGCGAAGCTTTTCGGAGCCCGGAGGCGGCAGGAATTGATTTGGGACAACGCAGGCCTTGTTTTCACTCGTGGGTGAACCACCCCAGGTCCCGGGAGGTACATTCGTGGACGTGCGAGTGTTTCTACTGCCCGACTTTCCTTTCCTGGCAGGACTTAAATGCTCCCCATTTTTCACGGGGACTTGGAGCAGGTACAGGTGAGATTGTTTTCTTTTATTTTTTCAAGTTCTGTGAGAAGAAAGAAAAAGAAGTAAAAAAGAAGAAAGTTCTGTGAGAAGAATATAAAAAACAAAAAAAGTAAGCTGGAAGTACACTACACTTGTTAATGCCTATACATTCATGTGTTCACATAGATACATTCTGAAAGTGCTATTCATGAAGTCCTGAGGACCATTCTCGTTTGTTTTGTCTTCTTTTTCCCCCCATTCTCTTCTTTTTTGAATCGAAGAATCCGGCAACCCGACCGCCAGTGGAAACATATGCACAATATTTTTATCTGGCGCCCCGACCGCCAGTTAAAACTATGTCCTATTTGTGCAGATTTTGGCCCTTCGGCCTTAGTCCCCTACTAATATATACCTTAATGAACTCGACCACTTTATAGAAACAACTATCCGTGAATAACAACTATCCAATAATATAACAAGGCTCAAAGCAGACGATTCGCGTCTGAATCCCACGCATTGGAACCGAAGGATGCATTACATCCGCTTCGCAGATGATTTTCTAGTAGCAATCTCTGGTCCATGATATCAGAAGCAGTGAAACTGACATCTGAATTGGAATCGTAGGTTCGAATCCTGCCTCTCCCACTTCGTGGCCTTCATACATTCATGAATTACATGTAATGTACTTGTGGGGGCGAAAGTCTAGGATGGATCTATTCTATTATTATCTGATGGTAATTATCTATGTCAGTAGAAAAATCCCCACAAATAGGACATATTTTTACCTGGCGGTCGGGTCGCGAGATAAAAATATTGTGCATATGTTTCCACTGCCATTCGGGTTGCCCGATTCTTCGATTCAAAATCTCAGGCGAGAGACAAGATATGTCCATCCCCCAACAACGAGAACTAGTACTAGTCAACTGACAATAAGCTTGAAAAGCAATGTCAGTGTACCAAAAAAAAGCTCCGCAGAGTTGAATAAGGACGTAGCCATGGCGATAGCAATCAAGCAAGAAGGCCGCTGTCCATTTATTAAAAAGGAAAAAGAAAGAAAAAAAAAAGGCGCAATCAACCTGTGAAGATTGCATCTCCTTGCTTCCTCTCCAATTTCCTTTGCCATCGCTGTGCCTAGCCTTTGTCAAATCACAACACTCGCAGCGGCGCTTCATCAGCCGCGACCCTTCTTTTATTGGCTGGGCGAGGTGTCAGTGGTTAAACTTGTCTCGACTTTCCAGATTGGATACACAGAGGAGGGCAAAAATCAAATGTTTGCCATTTCTCGATTCATGCACCTCAACCTTATGCAGGGGCGAAGCTATAATCTTCTCTGGATCATTACAACTTTAACGGATGTCCCAAAGGAGTCCGAATTGCAAATTTCTCCTTCCTATGTGAGGCCCATTCATTCTCTGCCAGCGCTCCATAGATTTGATAAACCGTTGAAGCCTTGTATTGTTTTTATTTTTCGCGTTTTTTATTATATTTGGCAGTCCTATTTGTCGAATCTGGTCCTTTTTTCTTTAGGTATCGAATCTGGTCTTTTTTGTTTTTCAGTCTCAGGTTTTTATATAATTTCTCGTCTTCTCTCCCTCCACTGAGTAGCTCGGACAACCGAACACTTTGTTGGAGTTTGGCCGTGTAATCCATTACCGTCGGATCAATCGCTTTAGTCTTTCTTTTTTTTTTTTTTCCCTTTCTGTACGACATTTTTTAGTATCTGAAGATCTCTTAGCAACAGTACTCAATGATGTGACTTCTCAACCATGTGTGGCACGGCAATGCTTTGTTTTTTTTTTCATCGCCTGGGCAGTGGGCAGTGGGCAGCACATACAAGTCTATATATATTTGCGAAGGGTGGGCAGCACTCTGCTATATATAGTTAACCCATAGTGATTAAAAAGAAGGGTGAGGGAGGGGGGAGGGGGGGGGCGGGGGGGCGGTGGATTTCCTTCTTCCATGTCCTCTCCGGACAACAAAACAAACAATATAAAAAGCCCTTCTCCCTCCCAGGGTGGCACATTACCACCTGATCATGAAACCCACGCTCGGTGGGGCGTTAAGATATGACCAATCTGAGCCTCGGCCTTAAATCTCTTAGCGGGGGGGTGCTAAGAACTGAAAAGTACTCGAGGCCCGCTACCACCCACAGCCAAATAGTTCCCACAGCCAAATAGGTCCCACAGCGACACCGCCTGCTGTCCACATGCTGTGACCCAGAGACCCTGTGGTAGCAGACCAAATGGCAGAGTACCACCTAGTCCACATGGTACCATCCAGCACACATTGCACAACCCTCTAAAAAGCAGCACCAAATCGCAATTGGGAGTCCTTGGGCTGTGCACATAGATTCGTTCTGAGTACCCCTTCGTGGGTGGTTTTCAGCGGATTAACGAC